CACTTTATTCCTATTAACGACGTTCCAGTTAGACTTGTGACTGCCAACGTCCTACCGCCAAACCTACTACCAAACGTTTTTTACTCCAAATTAAACCAATAATTACTAAAATGCAAAATTCTACCGTCTACTATCAACCAAGAGTTAAACTACGGCGTTCTCACTCAATAATTCTCCTATTATCGCTTTATATATTTTTTTCTTTCCGCAATGCGGCAACCCCGTTAAGATAAAATCATGAGGCGCCGCATGCTAAACCTCAACCTGTGACAACACACCTGTTGTTTATCAAGTATGTCTTTCAACTCTTTTTTCACATTTTCAAAATTTATTTCCATAAATTTTTCAAATGAAGGCACTTTGTTCATATTTGCGCCGACAAAAATTGTGCATTTATCAAAAATGCCTTTAATTTTCATAATTTTTAACGTTAAACACTCCGTCAATTTATCGCATTTTTTGTAGCTCTTTTTGGTAGGCATTTTTCAATTTCTTTGTTTTTGAAGATTTCAAACTCATTTTTCAATATTTTCTGTGCTGACACAACTTTTTCATTTGTGTAGGAATACATACATACATACATACATACATACATACATACATACATACATACATACATACATACATACATACATACATACATACATACATACATACATACATACATACATACATACATACATACATACATACATACATACATGCATACATACATACATACATACATACATACACACACATACATACATACATACATACATACATTGTACCCTTGATCATACAGTTTCTAACAAAAGCTCCTAACGCGCGACTGGGATCCAGTTTAAACGAAGAGAAAGAGATCAAAGTTCATTCTTTTTTCCGGCTTGTTGATTGGCTCAAACTGGCCAACAGACAGGTCCAACCCCCGTACAGACCAAAAATTGTGGGTTGTGGTTGATGATGATGTGATTATGATGCTAGTTGTTATGATGTTGATGATGGAAGTAATGAGATGATGGCGATGATTCTAACAGCGCTGTTGACGACAATGAAGATGAAGATGTTATTTTTGGGGGAGCAGATAAAGATGATACTACGTTGCTAACATGAAAACCTTACCCTCACATTTTCTAATGTTATAAATCTTCATACACAGAAAGACCGAAACGACACCTCGAACTTCGACCCCATCTTCACGAAAGAACCCCTGAAAAACACACCCACCGACAAATTGCTCCTCATGAACTTGGATCAGGATGAATACTTTGCTGGCTTCTCGTTTGTCAATCCTCGATTCATTGTTGATGTGTGAGGGAGACTGCTGGCATCCGTGGTGATGCTGCGCCGAATCACATCAGTCACTTATAGTCAATCGATTCACATTTACCTTCGTTTTTTCTTCTCCTCGTAATTTTTTAACATTTCACGCGGGATTTTCAATTTTTTTTCTTTGCAAAAATTCAATTCCCTTCTTTTTAAATTTTTTTTTCTGTACCTCTTGCACAAATCTTTCATCGCGTTATTTGTTCATCGCAATAAAGTTTATGGTTTGTTTGATTCATTTCATGTAATTATTAAATTCGTTTTGTTAATGTCTTCAATTTCACATTCCTTGCGTGCACATGTATGCTTATGCGTGCACATGTCTGTTTGTGTGTGCACATGTATGTTTATGTGTGCACATGTATGTTTGTGCGTGCACATATATGTTTGTGTGTTGATTGTCTGTGTGTTAGCGTGCTCAAGTCATTTGTGTGCATACTGTTTATCATACACATTTGTGCATTTGTATTAAATAAATATGCATTTATAGCAATGTTCATGTACCGTATGTTTTTTTCTTTCGGTATCACGTGTTCGTTTCGTTTTGGTGTCTTTGTGAAGTGTGGTCAGTTGCCTGTTGGCGATGTCTTCGATGATTTCTGTTGACCACTGCGGGTCGGAAGTGTTTGTGTGTTGTCAGAGTTTACCATTTTTCTATAAAGTCTGTCCAGTTTGTTACCACATTTCCCACTAACAATTTCTGTGCGATGCATGAAAGCCCTTACATCAAGCTATTAAACTTGCACCAATATCAAACCACCATCAAACTATCAAACTTGCATCAACTTTCATGTTAGGCGAATCTTGCTTGTTAAATAATTTTCATAATAGATGCTTGAATACATTTTCTTCTAATTCCAGTTTTTGAGTTTTGAAGAAAAAAATTAAAATATTTAAAATCTCAAGTCATTCATTGAAATAATTAATATGAAAAATTTTGTTCATTAAACAAGTAAAACAAGTTATTTTTCTCAAGGGTTTTTGAAGTTTATGTATTTATTTCACTTGCTTTTTGTTATAATTTGTTCTATAAACATAATTTCTCAATTTTGTTAACGATTTATTAGTGAATGAGAAAAATTATTAAATGCTAAATACACATAGTTTTTGCACATGCAAGTTATATAATCCAACTGGCTGATTGTTTGGTTGGTCGGTTTGTTAATCGTCGGTTGGTCGGTTGGTTGGTTGATTGATCGATCGATCGGTCGGTCGATCGATCGGTTGATTGGTTGGTTTCGGCGAATTGTACATGCATTTTTATATTTGAAGTGAGTTCATTAATTTTCCGTTAATTACTATCAATAGTAGTAGATAGTAGATATAATATAGCTAATGCAATAATAATGCTAGTATAAAGTACAATGATCAATAAATTAGAGTTATTATGAGGTTGATATCATAATATAATGAAACAATGAATCTCTTAATGTTGTTTAATGATGAGCCTGTTAAATGTAATATAATGATCGAACCACCTGATCTTTTCATTAAATCATCTTCAACATCTCTTTCAGCCTCTTTCAGTCTTGTCTCATATCATGCACTAATTGCGTTTTGCATGTCGTTTAATGTAATATTAGGTGCTAAGTACGATGTTTAAATTACAAGGCGCAAGTTCGTTTGCATGTTTAAGTCATGTGTTTGTACGTGTGTCTGTGTATGTAGGTATGTTTGTGTGTGTGCGTGTGTTTTATCACTTTAAATATTTTTGAGTGCCTAATTTTTAAAATACCTTGGAACGATTGCTTTATTTTCTGGTTAGATGGTTGCCTATCTTACGTGTCAATGGGAATGAGTGAAAAATGTATTAAGTGGGAAAGTTGTTAATTAATAGCAAAATAAGTTAAATGCAAAATTTATTGCGATTATTATTGAACGACATTTCTGAGTAACCTTTTGACGGCTGCAATTTTGTAACTAACTCCTCCCTGACTCGGTAGATTTTTCAAAGTTTTTCCATTTCTTTTTACATAATTTTCGCGGTTAGACAAAAATGTTTGATAGGCATCAAGCAGTTTAGACATGTTTTAGTAAGTTGATGTTGTTGATGATGTTGTTGTTCACCAATGTTATTTCCTTTCGTTAATGAAATCATTTAATCACAATTTACTTAGTAATTCACAATTTGCACCGAATGAGACAAATTTAAATTTCAAGACCGCATGCGATTAAACAAGTTTGTGATTTCAATATAATTTCAGAATTCAGTGTACCCCTAATGGCCCTAATAAATGACAACAAACAAAACATATTTTCTTTGTTTCTTCTTTGAAAATTGTCAAATTAAAAAACGCATCCTAAATAAAAAATTGCAATTTGTGACAGAAATAAGGCACTTTAGAAAATAATAGAATGATTATAACTGAAATATAAATAAACATTCTACACAAATAATCAAAAAATTAGTGAAAAATAAAAAATAACGAATCAAATTAATTGATCTTCCCAAAAACTGCATGCATATTTCAATCGATAATATTGATAATATTAATTAAGAAAAGTCCGTAGTAGAAATTGATGCGTTCGTCATTGTTCGCCATTTGCCTGCTGAACGAAATGCCGTAAAGTAGAAATCAAATCAGAAATTCTATTTGTTGGGATACTCAATTAGGTGATTAATCATACTAAATAATAAAATAAATTGGTGATTATATTAGTATTATATAGATTTTTAAAATGAATGTCACGTCTTGTTTCAATAAAAATCCTTTCATTTAGGTTGCAGAGTTTGTACTGTAGAGGTTGGACCAAGCAGACCACATTCAGTCATCAGATGGTCCTTTTCGTATCTTCATTGCTAACCCTACTGCATTTCTATGATATAAAACTGCAGTGCTGGAGGAATTCGCATGTTATCGTTTACCAGTTCAACGAATGGGAGAGATTTATTTGCAATATATTATGCAAATACGAAAAGGACACACACACCCATATATAATATATATATAATATATATACATATATTCATGGTCCTTTTCGTATCTTCATGCTAACCCTATGTTTACCAGTTCAACGAATGGGAGAGATTTATTTGCAATATATCATACGTTCCCTCTTCAGAGGCGTGTGAGAAGCTTCTGTCCTGCATTCGTGGTGAAACCCAACTATAATACAATGGCATAATCACATGTAACTAACATAACATAAATAGATAATTGATTGTAATTAACATTATGCAGGCTCAAACACTCAAGTCACACGCACAAACGCACACAATCACACAAACACTCCAAGACAAACGCACATGTGTTTATGTTTGCTATACACAAAAAATCATGAGTACAAAATACACTTTGTATATAAATATAAATACTAAAGCTAAAATAAGTTTGTAAGACAGAAAATATTAAACAAATTCTTAAATAAAAAAATTAATTAATTAATGAAATGATTAATTATAATTTAAAGAATGATTTAGATGATCAATTATATATATACATATATACACACACACCCATATATAATATATATACATATATAATATAAACGAACTACAAACATGTTAACGCGTATAATATATATATATATGTGTGTGTGTGTGTGCTAACATATATATATATATATATATATGTGTGTGTGTGTGTGTGTATGTTTGTGTGTGTGTGTGTGTGTGTGTGTGTGTGTGTGTGTGTGTGTGTGTGTAGAAAGAAAAAATATAAATATTGTGAATTTGTACTCTTGAATTAACGAAAGTAGTGTAAAAAAAATAATAAAGAGAGAGAAGAGAGAGAGAAGTGTAAGAAAAAGTTGAATGGAAAAATGGCGAAAAAAATCTCAATTATAAGAAAATCTTATTACGGCAGCTATATAAGAATTGAATTTTTGATATTCTAAATATAATCATAAAGTGAAAACACATTGAAAATAGTGACACGGTAGCAAAGAAAAATAAATTAAAAATAAATACCAAGAAACAAAAACAATAAGTTTTCCGTTGGTTTGCAGTCGAAATGTTCACCTGCCTAAAATTGGTTTCTTCAGGTGAACTGGCATTGGAGGAACGTTTTTGCGCTTGTCCACAAAAATTTGCTGCAATGTCAAAATCGAGGAAATGGCGTAATTAAGTGAATGTCAAAAATATTAAAATATTTTGCTTTCACATCAAACACATTTAACAAATTTTCAAACCATTTTGCATTATTCAAATGGGAAATAATTTACCGTGACTTGGTTTTCCTCTTTCTTTTTCTCTTTCTCCATCATAAGATGTCTCTTCCATTCGGGAACATTTCTCCATTTTTCATCATCCTGCTTCTTCCGCTCTAGATTCTCCTGTTCAATGCATGCACAATATTTTTTTATCCGTCGTGCACAAAATTTACAACTCACAAAACGTTTTCATTGAATGAAATATAAAAAATCAGTATATTTTTATAACAATTAATAAACAAGATTTATTTAATAGACGAAAAAATGTATGGTTCAAATAAAAGTTTAAAAAGATTTGAACATGCTTTTATAGTTTAAGATCATATGAAAGATTAATTTCGAATGGCAACGAGCGCAAACATGACGAGATAGTAAATGCCAAAGAACAATATTTCAATTTTTTGGAGTTCATTCTTGCTGAAAAATTATTGTCTAACTTGTTATTAAATTGATTAATCACTAAAAGCATTTCAAAAATCCGCAGCGTCATGTTATGTGATACGTGGGCCTACTCGTTGGAAAGCTTGAAAAACTTTCAATGTTATCAATAAATTTGCTTTCAAATGCTCGTCGTATTGGATTAAAAAGCACAAATTGTTATCGCGGGATCAGAATGAACCACGTGAACATTGGACAGTGGCCTGCCTCAAAAAGAACTTTCTCAAACATTTCCCCTTTATATTATACTTTTTATCACCTATTTTCATAATTCTTCTCAAAAACAATTTCCTATTATAGGCGTGGGCAACGAAGTGACTTGGTTTAAAAATCATCATGGTTGTCTTCACTTACGTTTTCATTGAAATTATGTGTATTTGAATGAATTTGAAAACGGTTGTTCATTTTAGCCCAGAAAGATTGAATGGTGATTTTCAGCAAATTTTCATTCTATCTACAGGCCTAAATCTTTTTCAGGCATTCCCAATTGGTTTTTTTTATCCACCCAACAAAATTCAATAGGTACCATTTATTTTAATTATCAATTTATTTTCGTTTATAAAAAATCTTTTGCCTTCAATATCTGATTATTCCTCGATGCCTGCAAACTAGCCCTTGTAACCGATCTTTTTTGGTCTTTTTTTCAAATCCAATGCAAGAACTTTCAACGTGAGAAGTTGCAAAAAATCCCTGTTCTGGGATTTATGATATTTTAAATTTGAAATATTGTTGTATTGGCTTTGAGTTGGACGAGGAGTAACACGCTTGTTGCTCCGATGTTGACTTTATATTGCACCGCTATCAGCGTTGAATAATTTATTTCAGCAAAACAATACATTCAACTTTTATTTTTCAATTACTTCTTACTTATAAAATGGAGTCATGTTTTTGTGGGAAACTTCCAATAAAACTACTCCAACTGTATCCTGTACCGAAGTTGATGAACTGCAATTATTATAACGGCACCAAGAAAATTCATTGTGTTGCCAACTGAAAAGGCAGTTTCTTCAAAAATTTATGTTAGGTTCTTTTCAACATTCAACTCTCCTGGGAGTTCATCAAATTTCTATCTGAGCATCCATTCTTTAATGCCACGGTGCTGCTCAATCAACGAGGATACTGGCTGAGAATTTTTTGATTTGGGAATCTTTTGATTGTTTTTAAACTTATTAAAAAGTTGTACAATAATTTAAAATGAAAAAAGAAAATAGTTTACATTGGAAAAAAAAGTTTATTCTTTCTACAAGTAGGGAAGCCACCATTTTTTTGGGTTTTTATACGTTGTTAAACTATAGAAGTATTGTACAAAATCATACAAAATTAATAAAGTTTTGTCTTTTGTGGCTAAAAATGGCGCCATTAAAATTGAGTTTTTAATTTGTATGACATATTAAATAGCGACCAAATGTTTGTTATCAAGCTTTTGATGATTAAGTTGAAATTATTTAAAAAAAAACAAGTAAAATGATGTGGCTAAGGAGATGTTGGGAGTGCTAACCAGGGCTTTTGCGAGAAGTTCTTTATTTTTATTCTCCATCATGGCCTTCTTCCACGGGGCTGCCTCCTCTGGAACTTTCTGGTAACCAGGTAGAGATGTGATGTCTGAAATATGATAATGAGACGATAATGAAATTATGGGATAATGGTAACGGTAGTGATGACGATGATGATGGTGATGATTATAGTGTGATGATGATGGTGGTAGTGATGGTAGTACAAATGTTGATTGTGGAGAGGATGAACCGTTAATGAAATGACGGTGATGAAGATAGTGGGAATGGTGATGAGGATGGTAGTGATGAGGACAGTTGCAAACGTTATGAGAAGGAGGAAGATGGCGAAAAAGTGTATCAAGTTGTTGAACTTTCTACGAGCGCCTCTAATAAGCTAAGAAAGCGCTGTATAGTGAATACAGTAATGATATCGGCGAGATTGGTGGCGATCTAATGTTGATGTTAAAATGGCAACAAAGCTGATAATTTTTTGATCAATGAAGCAAAAGCATGTTGGCGTTTTAAAATGTATGAAATGCTATCGGCGGTTCACCTATAGCGTTGCTCGATTTTGGTGACGATTCATTTTTGTTGCTTCCGTTATGGTTATTTTGTGGTTGCTTCGTAATGTTAATCACTGGTTTAATTGGAGCCTCTGAAAATAATTTTTTAAAAAGAATAATTAGCAAAACACTGATGAAATATTAATTTCAACGAATGATAGAAACTAGAAAAGTTTCAAGAAAAATCTTGTTATTTAATGCGGTGCCTTTCAAGAAAAATTACTTTTAACTGGTGGAACGAGAGGAACATTTTTGATTTTGTTGTTGTGGTGAGGGCTGGTAGGCGGTGTCTTGGGGTAGGCGGCTGATGAAGATGATGACAACGACTTGACCTCATTAAAATTTATATAATCTAAACTTAAACCACTGTTGTCGAGTGTCGATGGAGAATGAACGGACTGGTCAGCATCCGTGTTTTCATTCATTGTGTTGCTGCTGCTGCTGCTGCTGCTGCTGCTGTTGGAGACTTTGAAGTCACCATGGGATCTGATGACAGCTCCATTAGATGTTGGTTTCAGTTTGAAGCCTCCTGTCATTATCAGGTTGGCTATGGCGTCTACGGCAGCGGAGGTCTGACACTTCAAGATGTCTTTTGCTGCAATTTAAAAAATACATTTATTAAGATGGTCATAAAATTTAAAACAAAATGTTGAAGAAATAATGTTAAAGTAGGTAATCGTGAAGAATTTAGTAGCGGCAAGCACACATGCAGAGTACATTTACGCATATAATGATTGTATGTGCGTGTGTCTGTGAGTGTGTGTTTAAATGAATGCATGTGTGTGTGTGTGTGTGGTGTGGCCATTATACACCAAGATAAAATATAATCTTAAAACATTTGGGCTAAGAGCCAACAAATGTTTATAAAGGTGTTTTATTACTTATAATAATTGAAAATTAACTATTCAAACAAAAGTAAACCCATTGTTTATTTAAAATTGGATTCACAAACCTGGACTTTTCTTCAGTTTTACATCGGAAAGCGCATCTTTCAGATTTGGAATTAGTGAACTGTTCAAGATTTCTGATTTATTAGAAGATTTGTTGTTAGCAGGCTTCCAACCTGGAGGTGGCGGAGGAGGGGGTGGAGGAGGGGGTGGAAGAATCAAAGGGTTACTGTCGAAAACGTCATCTGCCTGAACAACGTTACCAATCGGCTTTGTAGTGTCACCATTTAATGTCGGAGCATCAAAATCATTTTCCTGCTCGTCATCGTTCGCATTGTTAACACAATCAGGCATGTAGTCCCGATCGTTTTCATTTTCATCGTTATTATATTTAAAATCTTCATCAACTTCATCATAATTACCAGCAGAGTTATAATCATCCTGATAATTTTCACTTGTGTTACTCATAGAATGACCTGCTAACAATGGAGGAAATGTGGGAAGGGTGGGAATGAAATCAGGTTCAGGTGGTATGTAAAAAGAATGGTAATCATTTGTTAATGTTGAAGGATCAGATATGGATGAAGAATCATCATTTTGAGATACTGATAATGTGTTTTGATCGTATTCATCAATATTTGTTACCGCTACATCATTTTCCTCCATTTCGTCAATATATTGTTCATTGGTAACGGAATCCCAGTTTAATGATGTCGTTTGGTAAGCATTTGCATTGTGTGTGTTTGTTGAAAACTCAGGTGGAGGTGTGAATATCGAAGGGGTTGGTTCTGATCGCTGGTTATGTGTTAAAGACAAAATTGATGATCTGGTTCTATTTCCGGAATTAGATGGCAATGAAAATCCCGGATGTTTAGGCAGAGTACAAGTTGTATGCGAAAAATTTTCATTTTCTTTCAGCATTGGTGAATGTCTAACAGATGGCCTTGGGAAGTGCAGTGCATCTTTCTCACCATCATTAGTGGAAATGCTGCTTTGTCCTCGCCTGTGAAGGGAGGCCCTCTCGTATTCATCATTTGAGTTGTTTTCCATTGAATGATTTTCATTTGCTTGCATAATGCTGTCATGTTGAAAAATAAGTCGGTTCATTTTTTCCAACTCGTACTCTGTAAAACCTTCCTGACCTTTTTGTTTAGGTTTTTTCTTCCGCATGATTGCTTCATAATCAAATCCGGATGAAACGTTGGGGCGAATATTATTGTCAGTCAACTGCATTAAACTTGTTTTACTCGATCTTGATCTTGAAGAGCAAGATCCCATTAAAGTGTCGATGTTTGCGTATTCAGACAATTTTTGGTTCAAACGAGAATTTGAGCCAAAATAATCGTCAATAACATTGTTTATTGGGGGCGGTGGTGGAGGAGGTAGAATCGGGTGGTCACGATCAAATTCTGGATTTCGAACAAAAATAGACCCTTTGTTATATGGATTCCATATATCTGCTGAGTTAATCTCATTTCTTTTGGAATATGACGGTTGTTTTCTTGAAAATGGTGGAGGCATGGGCATTAAGTTTGGTTCCGAGTCTACAGCCAAATTGGATGAGTATCGGGAACTAGTTGACGTTATACTGTTCGATGTTTCTGAGCCACTACTCTCGGCTGTGGTTGTGTAGCCCGATTCACGGTTGGTCCTCTCTTCCTGGCGACCACCGGCGACGTGCAAATCGTTCATGTTGGCTACGGTGTTTTGATTGGCTGAAAAAAAACACGGTGGGCTTGGAAGGTCTTCGTAATAATCGTCATTCTGATTTTGCTAGAAAGTGAAATTTAATTTTAAATGTTTTGTTGATCGTCAATTTTTTAAAATAAATTTTATTGCACAATATATGCTTGTCAATTGATTTTTTAAAATGTTTATGTAATGTAAGCAATTTTAATATAAATGTACAGAAAAGAATATTTATGAAAAATACTGAAATTATATAAAAACTGTGTTCAATCAAAAAGAGAGAACTCACAGCAAAAAATAAAAAAAAAAAGTTTATCGATCAGTTGCAAAACGAAGGCAATTAAAACTATCATGCTAGTGCAGTGTTATAACATTTAATGGCCCCTTCCATAAAACATGCTGTTTTAACTGTAATCTTTCTTAACCTGATTTATTATATTAATAGCATATGACATTGTCTTTCAATGCTTATTCTTATTTTAACGCAAACATTATTTCTGACAATGAAACTCTTATACTGCAGCCGTTTTTTTACTAATTATAAAATTAAAGCTAATATTTTTGCTTAATTACTACATTTATTATTACCCCAAGAAAATGATTTTTTGAAATTACATGTTGAGTTGTGAGCCATTCATTAATTTGAGCAACATCCAACTTCTGAGCCAGCCTGGCATTCAAATCAAGCAACGACCCGCTAAATGCTATCAACTTTTTGTCCCTATCGTCTTGGAGAAATTTTTTTGATGGTTTGACGTTGTTTCTACTGACAAAGAAGATGTTAGTTTTTCTGCGTTTGCTGTTAGCTCTAATAGTATTTGATGTATTTGATGTGTTAATGTGTTGATGTAATGTTGTTGTTGGTGTTGTTGATGTGTTAATGTGTTGATGTGTTGGTGTTGTTGATGGGTTAATACTATCTTTGGTAGACAACGACTTTAATTTATTGTGATTAACTTTTGAAGCGTACACATTAGTGCTTGCAATGGAATTAATACCATTAAAAAAGTCACAATCTGTGTTGTTGCGGGTTTTATAATTGTTGTAGTAGTTGTCAGTTACTTGCTGAAGCTTCACAAATGATGTGGAAATTTCTGTGGAATTTTCATTCCCGGCACTATTAACATCGGTGTTAAGCAAAGCAGCAGTGAACGTTGCACTGGTGTCATCCGATGTTGTACAGCTTGGGACATGATCAACACTCATATGTCTTGCATCATCGATCCTGCTTGTACTAGATGAAACCCTCGGCAGACTTCCATTGCCAACACTCGATCTGTTCGTACCAAGCGACGCAAGTACAAATTCGGTGAAGCTCGATTCAAATGGCACATCTGACAAATACCATTTCGACATTCCATCGCGAGAAGTTTTCGACATTTTTACTTTTACTATTTGAGCAGCTTTTGTGTTTCATACTGGAGAGCAATCTTGAAGTAGCAGGACAAACCAGTTAACAATGTGTAGCCCACCTTTCAACAATGGCTATCCGCATCAACAAACTTTTATTCTATTTTATTTTACATGTGCTTTCCAAACAAATATCTATTTAAATGTTCACAACAACAAAATAGAGTTATCCAACAAATATTAGATATGCCACTAGTAGTTGCCGCTAGCAACAACAACTGCAAAATAAATAAGATTAAAACACAACAACGTAAAACAACATTTTCAAAGCCGATATATATATATAATATTTTACGTTGTTGTGTTTTTTGTGTATGTATGCGTATGTGTGTGTGTTTATGTTTGCGTTTGTGTGTGTGCGTGAGTATATATAACATGTAGACAACGTAAGTTTGTTTTGTTATGCTGTACGCTTTACTCACAACTCAACCGTGGAATAAATGCATATATATATATATATATATATATTTATATATACATATATATATATAATTTATTATACGTCATACGCGTACATAAACGTAAGCAAAATGTGCACAAGTGTTGTACAATCGATACAGGCATGCAGGCTACAAAGTGAATGTGTGTTCAGTAGAAACATGCATTGCACTTGAATTGTGGGAAAAACTAATGAATGATCTCAAATAAGCCACAATGTAACATCAACGGTAACAACATAACTGAACACCGCAAACAACAACATGAACAACGCAAACAACAACATAAACAACGCAAACAGCAACATGAACACCGCAAACAACAACATGAACACCGCAAACATGTAGTCATGCATGCCTTCGTTTGAAATTTATTTAAACACTCATCCATTCATTCGTTCCTTCATTCAGGAACTCCAATTATATTTTTCACTAGATGGAGTTCAAACGTTATTTTTTTCGTTACATCAAAAGATCCATCACTTTATAAGCGCGTGCACACATGCACGCACACACACACATACATACACATGTAAGCACACACACATATACACACACACAAACAAACTTGTTTAATAACTTCTAGAAGCTTATGTGTACTTGTGCGTATGTTTGTGACTCCGTGTGTGTGTGTGTGTGTGTGTGTGGTGTGTGTGTGGTGTATATGTGTGTGTGTGTGTGTGTGTGTGTGTGTGTGTATACATATGTGGGGTGTTTTGTGTGTGTGTGGGGTGTGTGTGCATGAATGCCGTGTGTGTAGCCTCCACATGACAACTGTAATGAAATGAAAGCAAAAATCGGAAAATGATGGTAATAATAATAATAATAATAATAATGACGATGATACTGTTGATAATGTTGAGGCAGGTCAATGATGATGGTGAGAAAACGACGTTGGTAATGAGAATAATTGTTAACAAAAAATTTTATGGTGATCAAATTTTTTTATAAGAATTTAAAATATGTTATTAGTATTATTATTATTATCATTATTAGTAGTATTATTGTCAACAAAGAAAACATACGACGGTCAACTCACATAGCTGTCGGCAACCTCCTCCCCAATGTTGGACAGCCGCATGGAGACTGCATGGTTTGGGGACAGTTGTTTTATCTCGTTTTATTTTCGACCATGTTTATGTTCGTTATATGTTTGTCATTCAAGTTGTCATTTGTTCATTCACTCATATATTTGTAGTTGCATTCATTCATTTATTCATTCATTCATTCATTCCTACCTTGATTTATTTGTTCTTTTGTCGTGGATATAACATATCCGTGTGTGTGTGTGTGTGTGTGTGTCCGTGTCATTTTTACATTTGTTTGTTTGTTTGTTCATTCGTTCATTCATTCATACATGCATTCATTCAGTCTGTCAGTCATTTTCTAAGTCAATCAGTCATTCATTCATATTTTATTGCGTTCTTTCAATCATGTTCCATTCTCTTATTTATTCACCTCTTTAGAAAATTTATACAATTGAAACGATGCTAGCACACTTCAATTGATTATTTTTAATTTTAACTCGGTCCTAATCTCGTTCCCTACATTTTTTATGTTCAATGTTTTTGCATTCTCAAACACTTCATTTTTAAAATAAAATCATTTTTCCTAATAATCAACCAATCGATCAATCAATTAATTAGTCAATCAATCCATCAATCAATCAGTCAACCAGCCAACCAATCAATCCATCAATCAATCAGTCAGCCAATCCTAACTCCTCCTACACCCGACACTCACCAGCTGGCTTCCTAATTTCTAAATTTTTCTCGGCCGTCCTCGCCATCATCATTTGGATGTTGCTCCTGGTGGCGGTGTTGTGCTGGCTGATGTCGTAACTATCGTTCGTCAACTCCTTCTCGTAGTCGGCCAGCATGTTGTCGAAGAAGTTGATGGAGTATTGGATCTGCGAGTTTCTGCCGGTGTCGTGCAGTTTAGAGACGATAATGTTATTTTCACTATTAGTACAAATGCTTTTTTGCTTTAAAAAAATTAATATAAACCGTTTAATGACAAACAAAACAAAACGGCAGACGAGATCATTTATTTAAAAATTGCCATACAGAATGTCCAATGCGCGAACAACTTACAGGCTCGAGTTGGAGTACTGCCTTTCTAGTTTTTTCCTCCTCGGTTCCAAATCCACCTTACTCATGATGTCGTCTACGGCAATCAGGTTGAAATCCTCGTCGTTGAAAACTATCGGTTTCTCCATGTCAGGGGAAGATGCAACTTTTTTCAGGGTGTCGCACAACCAAGGGTCCGCAAAATTTTTTCCTTCCGACCCCGTACCAGTCCATGCTTGGGACCGCCATATTCGACCGCCCCTTCCTGTTCCAGAATTTTTTATGAAGAGACTGAGGTTGTTGGTTGACATCAAGTTGTCGGGATGTTGTTGTTTTATTGTTGTGGTTTTTGTTAGATATCAAATGTTGTATTTGTATCCCTGCTGCTACCCTGAATGAGGGGCACTGCCCACCCGTCCTCCGACGAAGGTTCTAGAGCACGCACCCAACTGGGATCATCAACAAGTGGCCATCGCAAACTTACTCAAACTTTTTTCAACAATTTAAACAAATAGGGGCAAATATTTTTTTAAATCAAAATTACGCCATTAACTTAAATTCAGTTATATATCGCGTATTTTTCAGTTTTTCAAGGATAAATTCCAATTTCACTTTTTTGGTTAAATATTTGACAAAATCAGATACGATCAAAATATGTCAAACATTTATTTCTAATGATTTTTACAATGCACCACATTTTAAACATTTTCTTGAAAGAGAAATTTAATTATTTTCACTATTAATAATATTAAAATGATTCACTTTTACCGTCAGATTCCTGTCTTTGGGAGCTACATTAGTAATAATAATAATAATAGCAAAATTATTACCTTGATGATTTTATGCTGGTGTGTTGACTGAGAAAATAACAACAACAACAACTTATACATATCTTCACAACCATTAATAACGAAGAACAGCCACTATCTAATAATAAAAACAATAATAATCATAATCATAATGACAATAACAATAATGGTGATGAGAATAACAATATGAAGCTCATAGGATCGGCGGCAGCATAAGAATAGAAACAAGCAGAAGAGCTGGTGAATGGCCATGAGTGTGCTGTGCACTGTGCAGCTAACAATAATGTTAATAATTATCATTGCTGTTACAAACCAATTATTCTATTATTACAATTACTATCAAAGAATACTTAAATTAAATCTGGCGTCTTGTAATTGTAGTTAAAATAAACACATCTGCTCCAATCCATCTACATTAGGAAACAGAACTTTAAAGAAATTAAACAAGCAGTGGTCAGCTGCGGCACGATCGAGAACGCTTGACCGATCATGCGTGAACTTAGTAAGCATAATAAATTAATTTATGCTCAGGCTAATAATGAATAATAATTAGTTAAACATTTCAAATTATTTTGCTTCGAATTGTTTCAAATAAGAATTAGTCAGAGCTTTTATTTGTTGTATTTTATTTTTAACCCTCTAACAATCCTTATTCAAATTTTCATATCTCGAGTAATTAAATCGAGGCGAAATAATTTGTTATTTATTTCAATTAGTCACGAGTTATTATTTTTAATCTCTTTCAATTGAGATGCAGCTTAAAATACTCTTGTCAATTTGATCAACCCTTGTTTTACGGATCACTCAAAATAAATAAAAATTTAATTTAATTAACTCATTTACACATTTCTTATCAAATAAGTCAAAGCTAGGTTTCAAAAATTTATTCAGTAATCGAAGAACATAAACATTATCATGATGGAAAGGTTGAAAAGAATTTTTCAAATGAAAGAACAAGTGATCGTTCGTTAAAGGTTTAAATTCAATGAAATGACACCCGGACGAGTGAATATAATTCGATGGATAAACTGAAACATCATTGTAAGTGCCGACGTAATCCTTCTTAAAATTACAGTCAGCTAACTAAAGATGACGAATGAAAGTTATGCTAATCCGCATTTAAATTGATGAAATAGAAGAATAAGAAATATCAGATTTCTGAATGAAGCATACAAGACGAAAGGGGGATCACATGAACGAATCGACAACAGCATTCAAGACCAGACATAAGTTAGGAAAGTGAGAGAAGTGAAATTCAATATTCCTATAGTCAAATTTAATATCAATCTAAGTGTAGAAGTTTTGCAAGACTTGATGATTTTGAAGGTTCAATATTAAAAAAAAATGAAAGTAAAAGTTTGTCAGCATGCACGTTGATTGTTGAATGTTGATGCAAGTTAGAAGATAGTTAGCCGGCGAGCAGGCAGGCAACAATCGAGAGCATGTGTTAAGTCATATTAATAAATTTTTTTAGAAGCATCAAACATGTTATAAGGTAAGAATAAATGGCATGAAAGGGTTCGCAGACTAAACTGGAATGACTAANAGTGATTTGTATACAATCTGCTGGCTGCTTGTTTTGGACTGTGTGATGCTTGAGGACAATCCGTTGACGTTGGTTAAGATTGTTAATATTGATAAGTTTATAACATTAACATTAATAAGGTCACATATGATAATATGATATATACAAATATCATACACACATATTATATATATAAATAAATAAATATATATATATATATATATATATATATTTATATATATATACTCCTTTGACATCATTCATAAATTAGTTAGAATAATTACCATGATGAATTATTAATAATAATAATGATAATAATAAAATAATAATATAGAGCTCGCTAACAATAAGAAAACTTGATAATGAAGTTTAATTAGAGATGAATGAATGAAGCTACAACAATTAAAATGGTTACAAAATGGGTCATAAATAACGCATAATAATATATGACAGTACAAATAATAATAATAATAATAATAATAATAATAGTAAAAATAATGTTACAACTATACAATGAATAAAGGATGGACTGGCTAGCCAGACAAAAACTTCAAAGGCCACTTACATTATCTGCGCATTAATTAATTCATTCATTCATTCACCTATTCATTCATGCACTTTTTTAAAAAACGAGCTTCCATTGAAAGCATCAACATGCATGCAGCTTACAATTTTTTACATGTAATTGTTATGCAAAATGAATTGTAAAAAGTGATTGTAATTTGCAAGATGCAATTGATCGTAACAAAAATGCTCAATAAACTATCATAATTAGGTAAACGCTGTGAATGATTGGTCGTTCGGATAAATAATTAATTGAAACCTATTAAAACAAAATTTGTGACTTAATTAATATCAAAAACTCCTAAATGAGATGAAGAAACGACTGATAGATAGAAACATTTTTAAAAGCAAACGTGAAAATGATGAATAAGAAAAGAAAAATATTTGATGGGTGAAAAAGTGTGAACACAGTGCGCAAGCAACAACATCAACAAACAAACGAACAAAGAAACGCTCCACAAAATATTTGTAGAGAAAAACTTGTAATACTAACTTGATGGACATATTGGAGAATATAATGAACCACAACATAAGCACACAAAAATATTACAGAAAATATAAACATGTAGGCAAACAAACATGTTTAATTCAATAAAAAGTTTATTTCTCTTAAAATGTAACACACCTCAAAATAATCCCCCCAAGAATCCACGACGATCAACAGTTTCCAAACAAATTATAATTAGTTTTCACCTGGTCATCAACAAGTCGTAATTTGTATAACTATATGCATGCTCATGCGCGAGCAAATGCCTAAATACTTTCTTCGTTGAAGTAAACAGCTTACTTAGTTACTACTTCCTCGCACACACGAACACAAAATAGGCAACAGTGATAGAACTCATTCTCTGGTGAGCGCCAGCTAGCAACACCATTACATACCACACTATCCACACTACTTATTTCTATCGTACGATTAGAATATTTTGTCATCAAAGGGGGGAATGTAAACTAGTAACCTTCTGCACAACTCATCAGTCCTACACAGTCACACCATCTACTTTTCAAAGCAGAGTAAAAATATTCAAACAGCAACATAAAAAAAATGAAAAGCCAAATGATTGTGTTGATAAATTAATATGCCAGCAATATAAAAAAACTAATAATTTATAAACCAGAGTACAAATTAAAATGAACCATAGCCATGAACTGAACATGAGTATGTAAATAAGGAAAATAGTTTAAATTAGCATTAAAATTAAAAATATTAATTAACTAATTAATTAATTAACTGTTTAACTAACTGCTTAATTAATTAATTAATTAACTAATGGTACCACCAGAGTACTTGTGGCATACCAGTACACAATCACTGAGCATAATAATAGAGTGACAGTGATGGTGGACTCAATGGTGGAATGGCCATGATAGACTCAGAGAACATTAGTAAGGCCAAACATGTAGGCAAAGAAGTGTTCCAGCATGATGATGTGGCCCGGCATGAACACGTACGCTGTGTAAGTAGCCATCGACAGGAAGAACAATAAGAAACAATCTGAAAAAATATAAACATATTCAAGCATGATATTATAACTAATTTATATAAACATATTCAAGCATGATATTGGGTGATTATATAACTAATTCAACCATTGCAATTGCTGTATGGCAATCACTAAGTCGTCATCACCTTTAATAATTATAACAAAATTTGATGACAAACAGTTGTATGCAAGCATGGCACCGTACACACAACAGTTCTTTAAAGTTAGCCTAAACAGTTTTTGAACCAGGCCAGTTGGCAAAACAAACAATAAGAAGCAAATAAAAAGACAAAAATATAAACGCAACAAGACAGACTAAGCACACTTGTCATCTGAGCTAACTCATCAACCAACCATAGCCCATTGTGTGTAATTTATTCATATGCAAAACTAATTTAATTATTTAACTCTTAACTGCCAACAACAAAATATATCAAGTCATTTGACCATTGGAGCTTAACAACACAACTGCATCAACTGTTACAATGATAAAGGCTTAATTGCTTAATAACATAATTTGATCATTGTCTTAAAATTAAAAAACATACATACTAAAAACAGTTCTCTCCCATGATTCAAGCATGTACAAGGCAGTAATCAGAAGATATTGATAGTACCAAAACCCAAAGAAGGTTTTAACTTTTTTAACAATTCCTGATTTATCATCAACTTTGAACTTGTTAAAATTTTCAATGAAATCCTGTAATCATTATCAACAATATTAATATAATTATCCATTGGCTAACATTTTTATGTTAACATTTACTAAAAATGATCTTTTCAATTTAACAATTTCTATTATAACATCAATTTTGAGATTAGTACTTGAATGAACTAATTCAATGAAGCCAAAGCATATTTCATTTCAAACATTTGATAAACAATTTGACTTTAATTTTCAATAATAATAAAATAAAACAAAAGTATTGAAAGATAGTTTCTAGAATTAAATTTAATTAAATTATATTTTACTACTCTAATCTAATCTAATAGCTAATCAATAAGACATAAAAATATTATATTGCAAATAAATGAAAATTCAAAGAAAAAAACTAAAAAAGCTAACAAATTCAGGAGACATGGTTTCTCCCCTCAGCTTACTTAGTAATTTGAATTTTAAAAAATTAATAAAATATTTTCTTTTTCTGTTTCTGTTGAGTTGAGAATTGTTTTAAATTTATTTAAATTAAATTTAAAAATTTAATTTAATTTTTAATAATTACAAAATTTGTGTGATATTTATTAATAAATTATAATAACTGAAAAAATTTTTTAATTCAATAAAAACAATCTGTTCTTAGAATAAATGAAATTATTAAAAATTAAAATTTTTTATTTAAATATTAGAAATTAAGAAAAAACTCCAGAAAAAGTTTTATTTAATTAATTTAATTTAATTAATTAATTTTATTTTTAAGTTTTCTAATTTTAAATTTAATTTATAATTTCATTATTACCTTGTGTTGATCTCTGAATAATTTAGGCCGATAAATAACCAATTTTTTTTTAATTTTTAACAACCAGTTTTATCTTTCTTGGTAAAAAAATATTATAAAAATAATCAAAATAAATAAAAACGAACCCAGATAACAACACGAAGGGAATTTTTATTTTGTTTCGAGGAAAGGTGGAACCAAAGAGTATAAAAGTGATTGAAGGTATATATAAATTTTGGAAAAAAATTATACGATTTTAATAAACATAAATATAAATATATATACAATTATTTATAAAGTGTTTTTAGCATTATTCAACTTGTAGTTAAGTTTCTCAATTTTTCTAACGAGATTTGTATCATCTAGATAAAGTTTATTAAAGTTAAATACAAAACTTTTAATATTTAATGCGTCGTCACTGACAAAAGTGACGTTAACTCTAATCTTTCAATAATGAACTTATTGAAAAAAAATGAAAAAAAAACTAATTGCTCAAACCAAAGAACAACTAGACAGTTGCCAACAAGAATGGACCAACAAAAATTATAGCCAGAAACTTAAGAACAGCATTAACATCTACTTCAATAATGCTTCAAACAACCAAAAACGCATTGGAACAACACGAATATTTAAAAAACTAAATAATCTTAAAAGAAATTTTCCATCAACAAAAGATCATTTCATAAATTTGAGTGACCACTTCCTAACAAACGAAGAAAAAGAATTTCTTAATTTAGGACTCAATTGTCACTTTGTGAAAAAACCAAATACTATTGATAAAGAAATCGAAATTGAAAAACTTATGGATAGTCTCAACAATCTCGACAACCAAAAATAATAACAATGAGTAATACAATATCGGCGGAACTCAAAGCTGAAAGCAAGAAACGAAGAGAATCCTTCAAAAGCAAGCTGCCTACAAAGAGACTAATTAATGCAGCTAAATCTCTAAAAGACAATAACAACATTGTAATAAGAAAGCAGACAAAGCTCTAATGTATGTAATTGTCAACAAAACGGATTATAGAAACAAAATCAACAAAATACTGTCCGATAATTCAAAATTCAAACCAATTAAAAAAGATCCAACAACTGAATTAAAAAACAAACTTAATAAAATAATAAAATCAATCAGTGCATCATCAACTAATGATCTAATTCCAGAACTGATAGGCGAATACCAGCCTGGTTATATGTATGGTAATGTAAAAACTCACAAAAAATATAACTCTTTAAAACCGATCATTAGCCAAATACTCACTGTCACCTATCCCATTGCTAAAATCCTCAATAAACTCATTACTCCATACACATCAAACAGCTAATATAATTTAAAATCCAGTAAAGAATTTATAAACGTCATTTCATCCTCCACGCCCACAATTAACATAAACATTGCTTCACTAGACGTGGAATCATTATTTACTAATGTTCCCGTCAAAGATACCATTGAAACAATATTAAACACTATCTATAATTCTAAACATACGCCTTTAAACATACCTAAAAAATAATTAAAATCCCTACTAGAAACCTGCACAATGGAAACGCCATTCTACTGTCTAGACAACAAACTCTATAAACAAATCGACGGCATCGCAATGGGTTCTCCACTGGATGTACTTTTTGCAAATTTTTACATGGGTCACTTAGAAGAGATTACATTCGCAAATCATCCACAGCTTAAACCACAAATATACTGTCGATACATCGACGATATATTTGTTGCCTACAACAACCCCAATACAATCACCAAACTACTGGAAATATACAACAAATCCAAATTGTAATTTACTATTGAAAAATCAACTGATTTACCATTCCTAGACGTGCTTACAAACGAAAAAGAAAATAAATTCACAACTACGGTCTACACAAAACCAACGAACAAAAGACTCTGTCTCAACGGGATTAGTGAGTGCACTAAAACATTCCTAACCAGTACGATCAGTGCCTTCGTCAACAGGGCGTATATTCACTCATCAAAAGCCGAAGATAGAGAAAAAGAGCTCCAACGAGTAACCAATCTTCTAATTAATAATCTATCTGCTTGTATAGTTTTCTATTGGGGTTGTAGAATAGACAATAGACATATCAATATATATATATATATATATATATATATATATATATATATATATATATATATATATATAGTTAACTGCACTGATGATGATTCATTCGGAATCGAAATATGTCCTTATTTGCAGCATGAATTCGGAAAATAAGTTTATATTGAATTTTAATAAACTAAACGTTCACCAAATAACTTTAGTGAGAAAAATCGAAAAAACGAACTATAAACATATTAACGCCAAACATTCGGTAGAATTTATAGAATATTGTAAATATATATATATATATATATAAGAAATAACACTGTCCTGGTTATGACATTAAACTGACCCTCACTGCCTTGTGAGTGATGTTGGATCATCAAAGGCTAGGCCCACCGCTTATAACTGTGGTTGCGTAAGGAAGGGCGTCCTGTGTAAAAACTAGCCAAATAATAATACTTATGATGACGGAAAAAACAATGGTCCTCAGTATCCGGCAGAAGAGGGTGCGAAGAATCTCCGGAGACCCAGTCCATAGGGTTGTGGTGCAAGGCCCTGTGGATGGTCTGGCTACTGGCACCCCACTCTATAGTGTGGCGGTGCAAGGCACTATAGATGGAAGGACTACTTGTAGACCAAGGGGTTGGAGGTTTGGTACCTGGAATGTAGGCACGTTGACAGGAAGAAGTTTGGAAGTGGTGGAGGAGCTGCAGAGGAGAATGGTTGACGTGGCTGCATTACAGGAGATCAGATGGAAGGGTGAGGGTACAAGGTTTGTGGGGGCTAAAGGTGGAAGATATAAGTTGTGGTGGAAGGGGGATGATGGTACGGGAGGAGTTGGTGTGATGGTAAGAGAAGAGTTGGTGGAGAAGGTGTTGGAAGTGAGGCGGAGAAGCAATGGGGTAATTGTGGTGGTGATGGTGTTTGGAAAAGTAATAGTGAGGGTGATATCAGGATATGATCCGCAACAAAGTAGGAAGGAAGAGGAGAAGGATAGGTTTTATGATGATGTTTCTGACGAGATCGGGCAAGCGGGGTTGAATGAGTTTGTGGTGTTGTTGGGTGATTTGAATGGTCATGTGGGGGCGGATGCAGACGGATATGAAGGTGTACATGGGGGATGGGGATATGGTATACGGAATGAGGAAGGGCGTAGAGTGTTGGAGTTAGCGGATGCACATGGTGGTGGGGAATACTTGGTTCACAAGGGAACCAGCGCGATTGATTACTTATAGGTCAGGGGAACATAGATCGATGATAGACTATATATTGGTAAGGGCCAAACATAGGAAGTATGTGAAGAATGTGAAGGCGATACCTGGTATGTTGCAGCATAGTATGGTTGTGATGGATGTGACATCAAAAGAAATGGGGAGGAGGAAGAAGGATAAGTTTGTGGCAAAGAGAAAGACATGAAAGTTGCAGGATGCAGAGGTGAGGAAGGCATTTGAAGTGAAGGTGGCTGAAAATTGGGAGAGTGGTAAGGATGGAGATGTTTGGGAGAGATACAGTGACTGTGTGTTGGCTACGGCAGATAAAGTATGTGGATGGACGAAAGGAAAGTGTAGGCATGGTGAGACGTGGTGGTGGGATGAAGATATAAGAAGGGTTTTGAAAGTCAAGAAGGAGAGGTTTAGGGTATGGTTAGAAGGGACATGACGGAGGAAGCGGAGTCTGAGTATAGGAAGGCTAAGAAGGTTGCAAAACAGGCAGTGGCAACTGCAATGAAGAAAGCATCAGATAGGTTAATGAAGGAAATGGAATTTGATGTGAGTTCGAGGAAAATGTTCAAAGTAGCAAAGCAGTCAATGAGGGATAGGAAAGATGTTATAGGGAATGGATGTGTTTGGATGGATCTGGCAAGTTGTGCATAGATGAGGAGAAAAAAGCTCAGGTGTGGAAAGCTCATATGGAAAGGTTGGTCATTGAATGGGCGTTGAGGAAGAAAGGAGTGAATGAGAGACTTGTTAAAGCTGTGATGCAGCTGTATGAAGGAGCAAAGACAAAGGTGAGGGTTGGAAGGGGAATGTCGGACGCTTTTAGTGTTAAGGTAGGAGTGCATCAAGGATCAGTGTTATCACCGTTTCTGTTTGCAATTGTGATGGATGTTGTGTGTGGAAACATAATGG